ACTTAATGAAATCATGTTTCAGGGGCGAAATGGCGTGGCCAATGCGAATTTCAAAGAACGCGAGGAGCCTGATTATGAGGAAGGACAGTATGAGGAAGTAAACTAATGCGGAACATTGATGGTTCTTGGATAATATCTAGGCTACATAAAATAGATTGTCGAGGAGAAAATTTTACATAGATTAAATAAAAATATTTTACATCAAAATCGTTTACAAATATTTTGAGAGAGTTATGTAGAAATCAATTTGCGAGTACATTTTTAAGGAAAAATTGGTATCGAGGCTATATAGACTATGTAAAAACACACAAATTGAGAGTTCTACCAACGAAGTACATTGATGGTTCTTCGTTGATATCGAGGCTACATATTATTTTAACTATGTAGTCTTGAAGCTACATAACCGAGGTAAAGGAAAGAACGTTGTAATTAAGAAACTATGTAATTAAGAACTATACTAGCGCGGAACATTGATGCTTGTTCCATCAGCCCGCTCTTTTTCCAGTTTCGGTTTAAGCTGAATAATGTAAAAAATACTCGTTAGAGATAGTTACATGATAGAAGTTTTTGGAGTAGGCTCGATTGTTCATTTTGACTCAAAGTTTGGTTTATTTCTGTTTAGTAAGAAGTTGTAAATGTGCTACTAATATTTAGGCTAATCAAGAGTAGGATTTCAGGATGATAAAGGGGGGGGGGATAGGAGATCTTACGTAGGGTTTAGTATGGGTAGAAGATGTTATTGCTCGCCTTATTCTTTGACAAAGAAGGATAGAAATAAAGCTAGTCCTGATCATTATTATAGTTATCCTGATATATAGGTGAGAAAAACATAAAATAATAAGAGGGAAGAAATTTAGAAAGCGAATATAACAAAGTCACGCAAGAGATGTGATTAAAAATATGATTAGTGTATTTTAAGTGGAAGATGTACACAAACATGCATGTATTAGATTGTAAAGTTGTTTAACGTCCTTTTTCAATTGAATTCGTGCACATGATTTTTTTTGTGATACGGAACAAAAGAAGAAAAGTCTCGCGGATTTTAAGAATTAAAATGTTTTTTTTTAAAATTAATAACCTTTTCAACATTTTATTTTGGAGATTTATCATTTGTAAACATTATCTGCACAGGTCATGTGATGTTCATAAAAATTAGAACTCGAACGGCTCAGCTGTTTCAAGTTTATCTGATACAAGCAGACAGACAACTTAATTTTATATATAAATTAATAAGATTAAAATTAAGGAACCGTAAGTTGTCCGCACGGAGGGAGAGAAATGAGCGTTCAGAATTCAGGTTTAAGTGGAAAGGATTGGGAAGGAGGATAAAGGTACGTGAAATGTATTTTAATTATGCCTTAATAATGAAACGGCGGTTGATTGCTATTAAGGGGAAACTGGTTGGGAAAAGAAAAATGAATAAAATTTTAATTTGATACATTTTAGAGGATCGTTTCCGTGGAGAAAGCATGACGACACTGTCCCAAGAGGGCAAGAGCTGTCCCAGTACAGACATTGTGATGGTGGAGGATGGAGGATATCTGGTTCCGAACGATGTTCTTGGAACTGGTCAGACAAAGCCTGTCCAGAGTAATAGTGGGACAGCGAGCGGATTAGAAGCATCAGATATGAAGGTAAATGAAACACAAAGATAAAAGGGAGATTAAGCGTTATAAGGGGTGAACATAAACTATCACAAAGACAAGAAGATTAGATAGTGTAGGGGGCTCTGAGATTTGAATATAAAAGTATGTCCACCTTGTTAATAGTTTGTTATATTTAAAAGAAAACATTTAGTTTTGGTGAATTTCTTTTTGCGGTTTGGGGTAAAAGGTGAAGTTTAACCAATTTGGTTCATGTAAAAGCAGTTATTGAGGAGTTTTGAATAAAATTATATTAAGAAGAAGAAACTAATTATATTAAGAAGAAATAATTAAAAAAGAGCAATATTAAGGTAAATAGAATTGAGAAACATTGAAATAAAATTGAGAAACATTGAAAAAGAAAATTGCCATTGAAGTTAATCCGGAAAATAGTGAGGATGGAGATATTATTACCCATACCTATGTCAACACAGAGTGTGAAACTCCGGGGTTTAGTGAAAGAGCCCTAAGTGGAGAGAGATCTGAGGATTTGAGAGGAGCTGTTGGGTTTGGTTTGACCAAGAGTAAGAGAAAATGAGTATACTAAGCTGAGAATTCTATGATTTCAGCCAAGGTTGATATAGAGAGGTTTCCAGAGTTAACGGAGGCTGGGGATAATGTACTCAATCACTCTTATGTAAATACCATGTTCGGATCCCTCGGTATTAGTGATATAGACCGTGATGGAGGATACTCTGACGGTGTTAGAGAAGCAGTTGGGCTGGATTTTCCCTGTGTATCAGATGATTATAGTTCAGAACGAAATAATTCGGAATACAATTTAGTTGATACCAGCTTTATTGCGTGTATGGGGATTAAGGTGGATAACGCTATTAAAGAGGTTATCTTTGAAAAGCGAGAGGGGATGAGTAGAGTGAAACATGCTCTCCAAGATATTGGGAATGGAGTCCGTCAGGAGAAGGAGGAGGTCAGCGACATGTTAGCCAAAGTAATAGATTTACAAGAGTCTGAAGAAACACCTAGGAGAAGCGCACGTCTAGAGAAAAGACGCTTGGAGAAAGAGAACAGAAGTCAAGCTGGAGTATGAAAACAACGTATTCTTGAAAAGTTGATTTGCAATTTTGCACAAGTTCTGTTCGAAATATGGTAAAATTGACTTTTATTATTTATTTTTTTATTTTGTTCGCCGATAGAGGCTGATTATCAATCCTAGTTTGAACTGATAAGGAATTTATTTTTGAAAATTATTTTTTTTGATGTGTAAGCAATATTGTTGTCAAATAAACGATTGAAAAATGTGACATTTGAGGATCTGTATACAAGAAAATTTATTTTAATTCCTGTCGAAATAAAGTCCAGTTTTCGTTTTATAATCTAATTTATTGAAAAATCATATTTGTTATTTAGATGTACACATTCTGTAGTACAATGGATCTTATGTCTATGTTAGTGCAAAGTATAATTTTTTTTTGAGGGTGTTAATTTTAAATTTTAAACTTTTTTTTTATTTTAACAACGTTTTATCAAAATTAGAGTACTAAATAATGACGATTTTTTTGTTTAACTTTTAGGTTTATGAATCAGCAGTTAAAAAGATAACACTGTTAGCACATTAAAAAAAAGAGTTAAATTTGAAGCTAAGCTTGTCAAAAGGGGACGAATGGAAATACAACAATAGGGCCGTTTAATATTTTATTTTAAATAAGAACAGCACCAATAACTCGAGCTGTTTTTAACGGTTAATTTGTATTGCAAATTAAGAACATGCGAGGGAGATTTTATAAAATTTAAGTCTTTTGTCGGAATAGATATTATAGATGTTGACTTACAATTTACATGTTACAAATTACAAAATGTACCTAATGGTATATTGGTGTAAACTGCCCCAAAATCAAAATTTGGGTTATATGTCAATATTTCATCAAAGTAAGACAAGTGCTAATTTTTTTT